CTAGCCGCAGGACGGAGACAATCCTATCAGGACCCCAGACCTCAGCACCATAACAGAGAACCGAACGGACCTGGGTGTCGAACGCTTGAAGCCGAACGGCAGGAGCCCACACCCTGTTCTCATCCAACCGATTACTAAGACCGAACATAGCCCGTCGCCCTGCTTCCAAAAGTTCGTTGACACAACTCGCAAACGGGGACGCAGGGCCCCAATAGAGACCCAAGTACCTAACGCGACCACACCAGTTAATAGGACTAGGAACAAGTAAACTACCAACCATGGGTGGGTGCCAAAGCGACCCATCAGTACGGAGAGGAAGCATGAGCCTCACCCCCTCAAACGCCCTCTTAACGACATCAACGGAAGCAGCCACAACAAGGGCCTCACATTTCCGAACGTTGCAGCGCATACCAAAAGCAGCACAGAACTCAATAAGCAGCTTAAGCGAGAACTGGAGGCGTGCCAACGAGGTCGCGAACAAAGTAAGGTCGTCTGCATAGAACAACAGAGGTAACCGACGATCATTAATGACAGGACATTCGTGTGCACGTGTGAATTTAATGAAATGGAGGTTGAGGCTATTACGCAGGCTGTACTGCGTTGGATACCGTACCCATTCCAAATATATCGTATCCAGTGAAGCGCTGGCCGCCCCGTCGGTTATGCAAGCTTACTTTCCATAAAGGGATGCCGCCGGGCGTGATCCAAGTCGGGCAGCGTCCTAGGCCTGCGTCTCCCGGCAAGATTGCTTCGGGTGTGCCATCCGCACTCAGGAGAAAGACTACCCACGTTAGGGTCCGCGCTGCCCTGCAGTCGAATCCAATTGCCACACAAAAAAAGAGCATCTTCATATTTGGTCTTGGCTACACGAGCGTTGCTCTCGGCAACTGGCTTGCGGCGGACGGATGGTGCGACATTTCTCAAATGAGCAACTGCCGACATTACGACGCCAGCAAATTTTCGCGGATTGAGGTGTGGATGCCTTTTACATGTTGTTGCCATTTTAAAATGTACAGGAAAGTCAGCGGGACTTGCCGGACACAAGCCCGTGTCGATGGCCTTCGCGCAAAGGGCTGGGCGGTCGACATCTATGACCCAGCACGCGGCGTCGGATTGAAGTGAGAAGAGGAAAAGCTACAACATTTTCTTTTCACGTGCAACGAACAATACATGCGTGCTCGTACAGCCAAGCGTCTGCCTCGTAGCTAACACATACATACATCACCTTGCATGTTTCCACGCAGCGAGGAGCTCACCAACCATCTCGAGGACAGCCCTTACGTGCTGAGCAGCGTCCCGCCTTTGGCTATCGCGCTGTACGACCCGGTACGCCAAGGGTTTTCAAGGGGTAGACAACTCAAACCAAGCTTCAAAAACACTACAACAGGTCGCGGTATCGCCCCTCTCAACAGCTCAACAGCACGCCACCAAGGGGGCGCCGTTTCCTCGTAACAGACCTGCAGCAACCCCCGTCACCCACGGTCACCACGTCCAAACACCCCTCTTCCGCTTTACGCATAGCTGGTCACTTTTTCACGCAACCCAACTGACCTGCGTCGGCCGAACTCCGGTCCGTCCCTGGAGTCACGGAGCCCCCCTCCTTGCTGCGGTAGCGTGCAGACCACTCCATCACTTGCATTGCACCCATTCACTCCCTTCAGCCCTTCTCATCCGCTCCTCCTAAGGGCTGCCGCCGCCGTTTTTCGCGCCGCCTTCGTCACAAGAACTCGCCGCTATCTAGCGCATGCTCGTACCACATCTCGTCATGTCATGCTTAAAGTTATGCTCCGAAAGTGTCGTAACAGTGCAGATAGAGGCGCTCATCGCAACGCAAGCTTCGTAGAGCCGTAAACTTTCCCAACTTCACCACACCCCACGTGTTTTAACAGGTTCTATCTGCTCAGAAAGCCCTGCTACGCACCCTGGCGGCCTCGGGTCGCATTGCCTGGTTTGGCTATCTGAGCAGCACAGGTGCGAGCAGCCGATCTCACCCTTGCGAGCCCTCCCTTGCGCCCTGACCTAACGCCACTGTCACTACCATTACCATCACCGTCACCATTATCATCATCATCATCACCATCACCGTGATCATCATCACCATCACCGTGAGCCCTTTACGCATGAGTTATGTGTTTGCCCATGATTTATGTCGTACACAGGGGTGTACGGAGACTGGCAAGGGGAGTGGGTTGATGAGAGGTGGGCGCGCGTGGGAGCTGGGAGCTGGGACAGTTCAGGAAAGGGGACGCGGGCTCAGCCAAGACACGCGTCTGGCTCCGCTTAACCACTCTCCCTACTCCGGGAGAGGGTTGAGGGTGCAAATTACCGTTGACCGTCGAAATGGCTACATTCTGCTGGCACACGGCCGAAGCTCTCTACACGCAAACCATCAGCCTACTTCTGTTAGTGTGACCCTAAGTGCCACTCGGGGCGCCTCTGTGCATGCTCCCTCCATCCCTCCATCCATCCCTCCATCCCTCCCTACCTACCTACCCCCCTACCTACCTCCCTACCTCCCTACCTCCCTACCTCCCTACCTCCCTACCTCCCTACCTCCCTACCTCCCTACCTCCCTACCTCCCTACCTCCCTACCTCCCTACCTCCCTACCTCCCTCCCTACCTCACTGCCTGCTTGTGCGCTTTGGAACGCTGATACGTGAAGAGACGATGCGGTGCTCGCCGTGCTTGCGGCCCGGTGGTTGGAATCTGCTGTCTGATCTCATGAGCTGAACTTCTCTCCATCGTTGGCCTCCTCAGGCACGCACGCCCCCAACATTACAAGTGTACATCTCCTTTTCCCCCGCCTCCACATCGACTCACTCCCCCGCACACGCACGCGCATCTCCTCTCAACCACACACACACACACACACACACACACACACACACACACGCACCACATGCACGCGCGAGTTCCCGCAGCTCGCCATGCCGGCAGACCAGCTCAAAAGCAATTGTTCGCCAAGAGGCTGAGGCGGCGTGGATGCAAATGTACGATCAGTACGGCCTGCCGACGCACATTTTTCGTCTGGGAGGTAAGCGACTGCATCACTGGTGAAGTTGCGGCCGGATACGGGTACGGGCAGGGGTAGGGGCAGGGGTAGGGGCAGGGGCAGGGGCAGGGGCAGGGGCAGGGGCAGGGGCAGGGGCAGGGGGTATGAAGGTAAGAAGTTGTGAGGGCACGGAACAGGGTACAGGTCATCCCTTTCCCACCCCCACCCCCATGATCTCCGTATTTTCCCGCCAACACATACCACGAATGGTGCTTGTTACCAGGGATAAGGGGAAGGTGGGCGGGCCAGCTATAGGGCCGGACACGTACCCAAGCCCCTTTCACCCTTTCATTTCCACCACCACCACCCTTCCCCTCCATGCGTTGTCGTGGATTCCTCCCGGGACTGATCCCGATCACCGCTTTGCCAAAGCCCCCAAAGCTTATTAAAGGCCCCCAAATCCCACAGGCGCCCCCAAAACCGAAAAGAACAAAACGCTTTGTTACCCTACCTGACCTTCTTTTGCTAGTTAGGGCTGAGACCGGAAAAGAGAGATCCCGCTGTGACCCTCTGACAGGTCCCGTGCGATGCTCTCCAGTGCCTGAAGACGCTGTCGCTGCCTCAGGATTTCGTGTTTTTTTTCTTGCCCCGCAGCCACCCCAATAATAATACGTGTCGTATAGCTCGGTACGGCAAATTATTGCGGCCCCAGGATACCTCCCAGTCGAGGCTGTGATGCCATGAATTGGGGACTTAAGTTCGTTTTGCCGAAAGAGATTAAAAGCTTTCTGTTTGTGGCTACGGCGTAAAATCTGCGCGGCTTTGTGCTGTGATTGCACGTTTTTGTGCTGCAGGCATCTATGGTCCGGGACGCAGCGTGTTGGACACCCTTAAGTCTGAGGTAGGTTGCGGAATAACAAGATTTCGTCTTTCGACTTTCATGTTGAGAAATCCGCACATGATGCTTAGGCTGCTGCTATCTAATGCCGCGAGCTACAGTAATTAATTTATATGATCCGTTTGGAAATTGTTTCGCCCGTAAGCTGTCAGCGCGCAACGTCTTGCGCTGTTGGGTATGTGCACAGTTGCGTCGCCAGGCACCGCTTGTGGGCATCGGAACCTGGCCCCTCCTAAACCCTAATTCCAGCTTAAGGTTGAATCCCCGCTTGCGCATGTGATGTGGGTTTGAGGCCTAGTCGTGCGTGGTTCTGGATACTAATAGTGTAATGACTTCTTTTGAAGACATTTTAACTTATGAATTGCTTTACATGTATAAAGGGTGTAGTAGCGTAAACGCACATGATTTCTTCCTAAAGATTTTTTTTTAATTTATTAACTTCTTCAATTTTAATTAATGCCTCTTTTAATTCCCCCTCCACATCCCAAACAACAACAACAGCTCGCGGATCTCTCCGCCAGCAAGCAGCGCCGCGGCCGCCAGCGCTACACAGCGCGCTGCCACGTGTACGACATTTGTACCGTGCTTAATGCCAGCATAGCGGCGCCGAGGCCAGGGAGCGTGTACAACGTCGTGGACGACGACCCGGCACCACGTACGGAAGTCGTGTCGTACGCCAGATCACTCCTGGCTGGAAGGCCCGCGGATGGCGACCATGTTGGAGTATCAACCCCCCCGCAGCTGCAGCTGCTACCCGACACGGCTCCCGACGCCACAGCTGCTGCTACTGCTACTGCAGTGTCGCCGGCGGTGGTGATGCCACCACCGTCGGAAAAGAGTGTCAAATGCAGCTCCTCTGGTGGCGCCGGGAGTGACGGCGACAGTGGCACTGGCCGCAACCCTGGCCCGGCCCCCGCTGCCGTTGGAGCTCTTGAGGAGAAGCGGGTCTGCAACCGACTCATCAAATCGGAGTTGGGATTGGAGCTGCGCTATCCAAGCTACATGGAGGGTGTGGCGGCAATTCATCGGGGGGAGTACTGGCCGCTTAGCGTGGAGGACCTGAAGCTGCTGATATGACCTTGCGATAGGGTTCCGACCCTGACTATCCGGGTTGACAGGTGGTCCTGTTGGGGATTTCGGAGCAGCGGCGAGAAGGGTAATTCTGGTTAGGGATTTTCCCGGTGTACAACAACCTCTGCGCAGCAGCGTTTCTAGGGCTTCATATACGTTTCGCGTAAATTTGTGATATAATGTGACCGGTCAACGGATCATCTGCGGGTTTGAAAGATACTTCGTCAGGACTGATGAGCCGCGAGCTCCTGAAGCAGGTTATGCACTTGCCGTGGGCGCAGGTGGCGGGATGAGATTGTTCGTTGTTGTGGGTTTTACTGGTCCACTTCCATATTTCCTTGTCGACTTCCGTATAGACATTATACTCTGCTCAATGCAACTGCAATGTGTCTTGGTTACTTCTGTACTAAACGAACCGAGTGGATTCTGTTAAAGACGCAAATGTTGTAACAAAATTCAATTTCGCATGCTAATTCGCACGACCGAAAATAAAATTAAACATCCTTCGCCATCAAATACGGATATACAGCGCATAGTAAAACGACACTCGACAGTCCTGATTCTGTTCGCACCACAGGTTGGTCGCGGCAATGATAGCCCATGGTAATTAACCCCACAGGGTCAATGAAGCGTTAGCATACTTTTCTCCATCCAAGGGCACCGGACAGCCAGGTGCAAGAATTCACACACCACTCGCCATATCAGGACACACTCAAACACACACACAAGAACGTATCATAGCATCGTAACAGAAGCCAAAAACCATGCGCCGCGTCACCATGGTGTGCGTCACGAGGTACATGGGTCATGTGCACATAGTGTATGCGCCGTTGCAAACCTTGGGCCGTAATACTCTGGTGGTTCCAAACTCTTTATGACCCTAAACTGCAGCGCGGCAAACTACGTCAGCGGCTTTGCTGCCCAAACGGCTTCACATGTCCTTCCAGAGAGTGAATAGGTCCTCGGAAGGCAGATAGATATAGATACACGCAAAGCCACATTCTCCATAAAGACATCCATTAAGCCCCCATCTCAAGTCACCACGCCGACAACACCGTCGGTCCGCCCGCTCAAAACCCAACGCAGGTCTCTCAGCTTGCGGCGAGCGGCAGCGCGCAGCTAGGCTAATTTTGACTATCCGCTATCGTCCAATCAGCAATGTGGGTGGGGCGTATGATGTAATGATGCATATCAGTAGTGGCAAGTTACTACCACGCCAATGGCGGGATGCCGAGCGGCCCGGAGAGTCATTGCGGGGCAACCCTTCTCTGCCGAGGGGTACCGGCTGTTGCGTCCGCAAATGCTCAAATCAGACAGAGCCGGGGACTTCAGGCCCCACAAGTGGCCAACAAAAACACGTACTGTACGATACATATGCACCGTTGCACTATGCACAACCTCTCCCCGCAGCGGTGTGTCCTAAACACCCTAATGCAAGGAAGGAAATGATGACCACTCTTAACGGATCGAAGCGCAAAAATACCTTGCTATGCGATGAGACGCAGACCTATATAGCTAACACCTCCCCAGCTACCAAATCGCACCACACGCTCTACACAGCGACTCGACGGCAGCAAGCTTCCCATCGTCCTTGTGAATCGCGCTTCACCACGGAAACGCGCGCGCGCGCAATAAGTTGCTCTGGCATTGAACTGGAACCTGGAGCAAAACATTGCCGGACAAGAATGTCAACAACCTGGGTAACCTTACTTCGATACATACCCCGCAGCGCCCACATAAGGCTACAGCCAAGATGCAGAAGCGAAGAAACAGCCAGATACAGCCTATCAAGTAAAGTTTTCCGGGCAATCCCTAGCAGAGCAGAAAAGCAAATCCCACCACGTCATTTCCGCCCTTTCCGGCAACTGCACGAGTCTCTACCTAGGCAGTATCCATGGGGCTGTGATGCGCTCCCCCCAACCCCCAAAAGAGAAGAAAACAAAAAAATGTTATGTTGAAACGGTAAGCAGCCACATGAAATGGTACAGCGTACAGCGGCCGGAAGGGAATCTGCCGGAGCCACCACAATAATGCCACCGCCAGCGACACATCCATGCACGGCATCCGCTGCGTCGCATCACCCGCACGGTAGATCTAAGCGAGCGAGATACACATGGGCGCAGCAGCTGCCGCCGCAGGCGCTCAAAGGAGCCACAAAGTACGTGGCCTGCTCAAGCAGCAATGGGAGGCCATGCTAGGATATCAACAGAAAGCAGGGGCCCACAACAGGGGCCCACAAAACGATCGTTGCTGGCCAACAACCTTTCAACCAAGCGATACACAACAGTGCTGTGGCTACGTCACAACCCTCCAGCAGTAGTGCAAACAAGCAAACGTGCGGTGCAGCGGCACCTCAAATAGCGATGTGTATATACAACGCGATCGCCTCCTCTACGTCAAAGCGCCGCGCTCTCAAATGCTTATTTTTGCATATCTAGGTCCTATGCGTGCGCGTAATGGAGCAGGGAGTGCGAACGTCGCCATGAAATACCTCTAGGCCTCTTCACACGTTTGGGCACACTCTGACGGCACTACACCGACATACATACACACACACACTCAAAAACCAAACGTTTTGTTCTCTAGTACTTTCAAGTGCACAAGACTGCAGTGAGTCGCACCAATCACAAAACATGACAGCCTGATAGCCTCTGCCTAACTGGTGACCTAATTTTCTGGTGTTAAGGAGCGCGGGAGGACGAGCGCACGGACCTGTGTGTGGAGCTACGGGTGTCATCCTGGGCTGCACTCGAAAGGTGCGTCCACCCTCACAGCGCCCGTGTGTTTGGGAGCCAGACAAGCTCCTCAGCCTCCGGCGTCTCCAGGTCATTCGGAAATTACCTGTACAACCGTACGACTACCACTACGACAAGGATCATATACAGGAGGCATACACACACGATTGCAACACAAACTGTGCATAAATGCAACACCAGCTTCAAAACGCATTCACAACAGGTAGTAGATATTACTTTGACAGTTGCCAAGGCTTCAGCTCGATTCATCAAGGACTGTAAAGCAGAGGCATGAAATGCGGCATCTGGCAACAACGCCTCGCATGAGCAGCAATGTGACAAACACACAAACAAGCATCACACACACACAGAGGTACACCTGCGAGCTGCCATGCCCCACACGACAGACGACGCCGAGTACAAACGGTCGAGCACCAAGCGAAACAGAGCATGCAGTACCACATAGAGGTAGCAAACACGGCTTTTAAACCCTCGAACGGTCAAGGGTAAATAGCGCGCGTTGCGTTCGGATTTTCGTTTCGTAAGGAAAGAAGACTTCGCAAAGGTGTGCAAAGAAAGCCACCACGTTGTTACCGTACCGTACCGTACCCTAACAAACCATACCATACCCACAAGCCTTCTTCAACCAGCAACGTTCTCCGCGCACTCGCAGGGGTCACTCTATACAGCAACGCTACCAGCAGCAGCAGCAACATCAGCAGCATAAACATGCAACATTTATTTTCTTTGCGATCTCCATCGCATCCATTGGGCAGGGCTGGGCACGGCGCATAGGCTCTACGCCGCCACAGTCAACCTGGCACGGAACCAGCCAGCCAGCCAGCCAGCCAGCCAGGGTGCAGGAGGACTAGAAGCCCAAACCGTGCAATACGCGGCATATGAAACGCATTGCAGCGGAAATTGAATTCAACCGATGACGACCTAAACGCACCCGGCGACATCAATCCACTTTCCCACTGCGTCCGGCCTCAGGCGCTGCTGCGGGCAAATGCAAGCAAGCGGGGGCTCTCCAAAAAAGAGAAAACCGCTGTCGCTTCTGTTAAACCGCCGCATCGCCGCGTCTAGTACTTATTTGGACTCTCTCCTAGCAGTTGACTACACTGCATCATCAGGTCTCGACTCTTTCGAACAACTGGTCAAACAGTCCCACAGGACATCATACCTGGCGCTGCGCACGACCAATAAGGGGGAGAGAGAGAGAGAGAGAGAAACAGATGCCCTGCCGCTCCTGCGACCTTCACGCTAACAACAAGGTATAGCTCTCGTCGGACGAGCTGAAACCGAAAGGCACAGCACTTGTCTCCATCCGATCAGGCCCAGGCATAAACCACATATTTCAATCTCGCCGCATGGCATTCTTGCAGCCTTGAGCCGCAACAATTTCTTGAGCCTGACAGCGCATATGCCGTCACACCGGCAGCGGGGGCGATGGCTTCGCATCTGGGGCTGGGCCTCCCAAAGCTTGTGGGTGCTGATGCCTTTGGGGGGCGTAAAATGCTGCTGAGGTGGACGCCCTGCCAGCCACATTCACGGACCTTCCCATACAGCAAGCATGTCGAATGACCTTAAAGGATGGGTGGAAGTGGTAATGGTGATGATGGTGATGATGACCATGATGATGGTGATGCTCCGGCTAAAGCTGAGTTGGGTGACCCCCAGCGGCTGCATGAAGTGCCGCAGGCCACCAGCAACGAGGGACGCGGGTAAGGAGAGCTTGTAACTCGGCTTGTGCTGCAAAGAGCTTGGTCTCCGCCAGGATGAGGTCTTCAGAGGCATCCCAGCGCTGCTGCAGCACCTCCTGTCGTATGGCCCAGCGCGAGGAAAGTGCCATCGAATGGGTTGCGTGCCGAGGAGGACAGGTGGACGGACACCAGGATAACACATCAAACGCCGGATAGCGACACAGGATCCGAGGACGCCAGCCTTAGAACGAAATCTGGTCAACGCGCAAACGCATCCGCGTGGGTCCCACCTGCTCCATATCGCCAACGATGGCGAGGACCAAAGAAGGTTCGCTGGTTAGCAGCTCCGGTGCGCCAAGGACTCCTCGCACATCATCGGCATCGCCCAGCAAATCATCAAGCTCGTCCAGCCGTTGCTTCAAGGCCTCGCATATGCGGCGTTGCCTGAAGGTCAGATGCCAAGATTGACTGGTACTTGGCACAAGTCACAACATGTGCGTACTATTCACAAGCTACGTCAGGGTAAAAATATCTGAGCTCAGCCAATAACCGTTCACTTCAATGCAAGCACAGGGTACTTACTTCTCGAGGGTCTCCAGACGCGCGCGAATAAACATGTCCCTGTTAGCATACGATACAAACTTCAAGGCCAAAAAGAGGGGCTTCGCGCAAGAGCAAGCTTTGAAGCATGGCAACTCACACATACTGAGCCTTCCAGTTCGATGGACAAGATATAGGTAGAATCACGCAGCTGAAGTCCTCCATTAGTGCACGCTGGTACAAGTATGCATTCCCAGCTACAAGGCGCCGCAAGTCGCGGCAAGCTGCTTCAACAGCGCAGAGGTCCTGCCCACCAAGCTCCTCCAACACACGGAGCTGCAGCTCAAGAGGAAGGAAAAGGAACTGCCCCGAAGATGACCGCAGCTCACTGGTGGCCTGCAAGGGACAACGTCCAATAGTGAGCATTTGCTCGCTTCTGGCAAAGAAGTCTATATCATGTATAACGATCTGGATTACCATTTCTGATCCAAAGATGTAATGCCACAAGAAAATGGGGATAGCTCGACCGCCAAAGATTGCAAAGGAGTCCTCAAAATATGCCACAGCTTTTCCAATTTATTTGATATTGTAACTGTATTCTGGGTGCTTTGCAGGAAGACGCGGCTGTGAGAGGAAGGCGATGAGCGCGCAGGCGTAGCCTGCGTGGAGGTCCCTGAGCGGGTCGTCCCCTGTCCCAACCGCCAGATGGACGCGCAAACTTCACTCAGTCAAGTAAGAGTAGAACTTGTTCATTCACGAATAAGACTTGTGGACGAAACGCATTAAGTGCTTTTTTCACCGGCGATATCTGGTACGGACCAAAATTTAGATACGCGATACATTTAGATACACATGTCAGCCCCTCATCAGGACAGTTCCTCAAATTCATGAGGTTGTGAAGCATATGTCACTTACGTCTATCACTTATACCACGCAACTATTAAGAAAGCCGTGTGATGTGGAATGACCCGAGGGACTGGCAGAAGTTCAAGGTTGCGGTGGAGAGTACAAAGCATGGCGCATTTTCTAACATATATTACAAGATTTTAATGGTATTTGTGCTGTACTGCATTGGAGGACTCCAGCGCTGCACCTCCTACTCCCACAACGGTTAGGCAGTTGGCGAAGTAACGGTGCTTTCCTCTTAATTACTGTTTCACAACGGTACAACCCTGTAACTCGTTTCATTTTCTTGCAATACAGTATATTATTCATCAGCTGGTGCAATACTTTGCTAACGAATATCTGGAGGGCTTATTTGTCCTCACTACAAATAACATCAAGTCTACAAAATGCTGAAGGGTTATTATTTGATCAGAAACAGGCACCTGACATCTCCTTGCTGCAAGGGCGGAAGTTGAGCTCATTTGCTGACTCATCAATTACGGCCCTTGGCAAGCTCCTGTTGGCAATGAAAGGACGGTCCTGAAGCAATCAAATCAAGCTCTCACCCCACTGGATCATTCATTACGTAATGAATATGCCATGAACTCCGTCCTGCACTTTTTGAGAAGTTGACCCTTTGGCAACTAAGGACCTATGAGGTGCTGTGTAGAAGATATCGTGAGGTCCAAAGAGCTGCGAGAGGAAGCCCTGGGGTTTTCTCGGGCTTTTTATCATGCGTTGGTCCCTTAGGAAGCAAACTTAAGTTTGACAACGCCGGCGTCATACAAGCAAATTGATTACAGCAGCAAATGAACACCGATTGTATGGACCACTCCATGTGATCGGTATGAAGAGGGTTCGGCATCTTTCGTCATCTCTAAATCCCCAGTTCCTGATTAAGAACTCCGACAGAGAAATTCCACTGCGTTAGATAGTGCTGGCCGCCGCGTTGGCACAACCACGCAAAAATGGCTGATCACACACCAGGCTTCAATGGGACCGGGACAAAATCCTGATGTCGCTTTCTTGCCCGAGCGTTGTAACCGCATGTGTCGTACTGTACAGGGAACATTGTAAGGGCCCCCGCCGTCCTAATCAGGTTATAGAAGATCTTACGCCGAAAAGCCTTGCGCCTGCCAGGCGCATTGTGCGGACCCAATTACTGAAATGTTTTAAGGCGCGAAGTAAGCAAGTAGACTTTACATGGCAAAGACGCAATAGCATATCAGCGGCTGTCAACATGTATGTATGTATGTATGTATGTATGTATGTATGTATGTATGTATGTATGTATGTATGTATGTATGTATGTATGTACCTATGTACGTACGCATGTATATATGTATGTATGTACGTATGTATGTATGTATATATGTATGTGCGAGAATTACATAACGAGCCTAGGCATCTCTTTAGAACGCCATAACCACGGCACCATATTGCTGTCGGTCCCACGTGCTATAGGCGGTGCGGCCATGGCGCGCCAAATGCTTCTCGAAGGCCCCCAAAAGTCCCCCCAACGAACTAAATCCATCCTGCCAGGACCAAAAGCTCCGTCCTGGCGGAATAACTCCTGAAAGCTGCCACCGCTGTTTCCCCCCCCCCCGCCCCACGGGAGCCCTTTCCGCAATTCCGCTGTTCGATTCCCGTTCCCCAAGAAAATGCCCTGCAGCCGAGTACGGCAATTACCATGAGGACAACGACCCGAAGTCCTTAACACTTATGGAACTCCGTTGCCACTCGCATCCCTAGGGTTATGCACCTCTACACTACTATGCAGCCCCACATACCAATAAGGCAAAATAAGACCGAAGGTGTCGGAGACATGCACCAGCTTCCTACATGCGCCCGACATAACCCTCTGCAGTTCCCCCCCCCCTGTATCGCAGGCCCCCATCCCCCCGATGGGGCAAACCCCCCTTCCGCCTGTTGCTGCTGCTGCTGCTGCTACTGCCGGTGTGAAGTGAAGACGCGGGATCCAGCTCCTCCCCTCCGCAACACCCCGCAGCTCCTCCCGTCTTGCCGTGTTAGTCCACATCACCCGTCTCCCTCTCCCCCCCTCGCACCCATCCATGTCGCTAAACCCCCTCCGCCACACGGTCATACATGCGCGCACGCAGCTCGCTACGGTCAACCGCCACGGCCTCTGTTTCTCCCCAACCTGGCCCTCACGCATCCTCTCACTCTCTCGTCCCTTTAATCCCCTCCCCCTCCCAGGTTGGCGCCGTTGGGCAAACCACCACACCCGCCCCCAACCACCTAACTTCCTAACTGTCAACCCATCCGCGACCTACTCTCCCGGCTTGCATCCATGTCATCCCAGGCCCCTCCTCATGGGCCCTCCCCCCCGCCGGGAGCCCATCTGAGAACCCCACAAGTCGTGAGGTCCCCCCCC